TGGGAGCAAGCTAATACATCCACAGTTGTGAGAACTTTGAACCTGGCAGAGGGAGAATCCTGAGATCCAAGAGATGCCATTTCTTGGCATCCAATTTAGCAGAACGAGCTGTTAAGTCACAGGTGGATCTGAAACAGGCTGCTAAAACTCACGTCAGCAAACTCTGTTCTTTGCTGCTATTATGCTCCTTTTCTAGCTTCTTGGTGGCATTTGCAGCATCCTGCCACAACCTAGTCAGTCAGGGTCAGATCCACAAATCTCACTTCCTGGGCTCACATCTGAACTGTCAGATTGGAAGCATGATCTTGACATTGCTAAACATAATTATTATTGTTCCACACATGTCAGAAAACATCATTTCTACCTGAAACATCAAAGACATGCACACATTATCTGACAATCTAACAGCTTAAGTATATAACAGTTACACTCTTGACCAGTGGGGAGTAGCCAGCACAATTATCACGCTAGAGTTTTATTGTTATATTTTCCGTAATCATTCACATGTGCACTTGGGCTATATTCCTGCTCGGAAGTGTTTAGATACTTTGCATAATAATACATTTATCATCTCTCATATGTTATATCGGAATATAACCAGTGTGCCCATGCACGCCACTGAGATTCTGAACATTCATTACCATTCATAATACACGTTGAGGATAAAGAATGTTGTGTCATTACTATTCTCTGTCTTTTACATGAATACATAGCATATGATACGTGCCTTCTGGTCCATCTCCCCCATTTCTTTCTCCTATGGATGTAGTGTTTAAATAACGAGTTATTTTACAGTGTTACTAGTTGTATTACCAAAGTAGCAGCTTCCACCTCTACTGATTTGGCAATTCAGCAGTTCTAATATCTCCTTCTAAAATGAAAACTGCCAAAAAGAAAGGAAAAGGGAGAGTTTTCTCCTCTTCAATTAGGAAGACTAGCGCTTTTGCTGTATGCATTGATGCAATAACTCTACATAGGTAACGACAGAGTCCCCTTCTCTTTCCCTGGCAGAGCTTTGTTCCACTATTTAGCAGGGTCACTTTTCTGCAATTCCAGTCAATGCTTCTATCACTGTACAGAACTGTTTTAGTACACAAGATTTTCTCTTCCTATTAGAGACTTTTCTCCAACTTTCTTTTATCACTCCCTCTCATCCCTCTGCCCTCAGCAACACACTACCTGTTCTGTCCAAGGAAGATCAAGAAACATCTCCTTGATTCAGAGCTCTTCATCACAAGAGACTATAACAAATCACAGCTATGTAAGTCAATTCTTTATAAAAATCCTCAAACCTGCTACTGCTTTAATCTTATCTAAAGAAAGCCTCTCTGAAAAACATTGCTCCTTGCAGCTGTCTTCTCCTATTAATGGTTTCTAACATCTCTCATAGAGGGTGCAACTCTCTGCACTTAATTTATTGGGAAGAAATTAGGTTTTGACCAGAGATGAGATCTGAAAGACAGAAAGGGCTTCCTGTCAGTCTTTTGTTAGAAAGAAATACAGCATTTTGAGATGTAAAATTCTTAGTCTGATTTGGAAGTGTCTACATCTGTGTTCTTCACCAAGTTAGTGTGCTTCTTACCTCCATTTTTTCTATCTTTAAAAACAACAATAATACACATACTAATTATTAATGCTCATCAGTGATTATTTAATAATAGGATAGGTCTGAACCTGTATTTTTTGCTCTAAATCCACTGCCTTCAAAATCTATTGCAAATTTCAATCAAAATTAAGAGAAAGAAAAAAAAATCCTTCTGGTTTTTGAATAGAAACTCATCTTTACAAAAAATTTGACACTCATAATGGCGGCAAAAGACTCAAAACACTTTTTGAGTGAATGAAAATTAACTTTAAAAGTTTTTATTGTAATGTTAAAACCAAACTTTTCATATATACATAGACTAATTTTTTTAAAATTTTATGCTTCTTATAGCAAAAAAAGACATAATTGCTCTGCTTTTGGGGGTTAACAGAACCCTTGTGACTACTTGTAACCATGGAAATATAAAGAGCTAGTCAGAGCCCAACATCAAACTAACAGAGGTGCTGAGAGACAGAAAATAGATATATGATGAATTTGCTACACATGAAAGCTAGCTGAATCTGTACCAACTGCATTAACAACACAGAAAGCAGAGCCCACAAAGCCTTTTGAATGCTTAAAAGCATACAGCATTTACTATGGCTTCTCACTGAAAATAAAGGGAAATGCCTTTAAAGGTTTGTTTTTAAAGGACTGAGTGCATCTGAAACGGGTTTAAAAGCAGAGACAAAATTGGGTAAAAATGGTTACTATGTGAATAGGAACAGTAACAATATCCACAAAAAGACAAAAAAAGGCCCCACTGAAGAAGGGTTTTCTCAGACTATGATTGTAGTTACAGAGATTATGCAACCAATGGCCAGTGGACTCATCATCATTTTCTTATCATCTGGAGAAAGCCCCAGATTTAACAGACACAGAAATACTCAAGACAAGCAATCACTCAGATGATGATTTATTGACCAAATTAATTATCATCTGCGTTGTAATAATAAAGCATGTACATATTTAACTGCCTCCTCTGTGACAGGCCAAACCCACAAAACATTGTTTAACTAACCACAATTACAATCCTTAAACACAGTCATCCTCAAAAAGAGACATCTTTGGAGAAAAGGAAATCATATATTCCTTGCTGTAACAAGCAAGCTATGACCAACAGCAGAAGAAAAATCTTTTCAGTAATACATCTCAACAAGTTCCATAAATTACAAGTATACACGGCAAAAAAATACAACATATGTGCACGTTACTTACATCACACGGGTGTGTGATGATGCAAAAGAGCCAAAATGTGTCAGCATGATCAAACAGATAACTCTCTCACTCTTACAGCATTAGCTTCTTACACCTCCCTCTTTGCCCTTCTTTTCCTCAGCCCAGTGATAACCACAGAATCAGAACTCTCTTCCAGTTTCCCTCCTGGGTTCAGGAAGGCCAAGCTCACCTCCAAGCCAGCAGTCTTTCTAAGGCACTACGATTTATATGCCCAAATGATCCAATGACAATACCATGCTTCCTAAAATGAGCTCAGCACAGACTTGTATATAAGCTTTAGAATTGTGCAATGAAGGCATATGGATCCACAAGGCTTAACATCCTTCAGGAAAACCTAGTTTGCCCTTTCTTTTCTGTAGGTCCATAGTATTCTATATAGCACGTAAGATATGTCAACTTTACTTTCCCAGGAACAAGAAAAGACTGATAGATTAATTCTTCAATCTTTTATGACACACCTAATTTTCTCATCTTTCTCCATTTGTCTATTTGTTTTCTATGGAAGCAAAGCACAGACCCTTAGGTCATACGCAGATTTCTGTCAGCACAACTGTGCTGACCAGGGTTGTAAATAGCTGAGATATTTAAATACAGTTCTATGGGTAGCTGTACTTGCAAAAAAAAAAGCCTTAGACAAGATGCTGGGAATCCCAGACACCAAGTTATAACTCAACATATTAGGGCTAATTGTATGCCAAAAATAAAGAGATCTTCTGGGCCTATATTGGCTGAATGAAATACACATTCACTGTTTCTCACATGTATGATCTGCTGTTTCACCATACTACCATCTGTTTTCCCCATTTACCACAATTGTTTTTCAGATCTTCATAAAATTTTAAATTTAGGATCAGGTTAATGCCACGAAAAATGAAGATGCTGTCTGAATAACAATCTTGCAATTTCTTTGTCATCTTATTTGAATCTTCTGTTTCAGAGCTACCTTGCATAGCAGATATGCTCAGTTAAGGGTATATTAATTACATTAATTATTTCAAATCTCATTATTATGTCTATGGAAATCTCCAAATCCTATATTTAAACTGTAACATTTTAACCATGATGAAATTTGAAGAAATCCCATTGTTAAATTCTTGAAATGAATTATACAGATAAAATATTATGCATAATGGGCTTTCAATAAAATAGTGGTTTCCAAGTACCTTTTTTTTTTTTTTAATTAGAATAGGTTTCTATGCTTAAGCACTTTCAAAAATATTACCTATCTATTTTTCTGGTACAGTATGTGCCATACTAGAACCCACTCCTAATGAGCGTTACTACTGCACTAATTGCTGCAATACCAGTAATATCTCAGAAATATTACACAAAAATATGGTTTATTACAAAATACAAATGGATTTCTTTGGGTTACATGAGATGTAACTTTTAGCAGAATGTATTTCTAGTGTTCCCACAGAATCTTGGCTACACTTTACGTTTCCATTTTGTGTGTGAGGATTTTTTTTTTCTTGAGTTGTATTTGGGAACTCACTAATTCATTATTCATGAGAAATACCAAATGCAATCGGTAGAAATGTCTGAACAGAGGCCAAGTAATAGAAGGTTTTTTTCATTAGTAGCAAAACCTTCATATTAGCTAATTAATATAATTGCTGATTATCTTAAATTATTATTTGTGGCATTTTAGCCTTTTATCATGTGAACCTCAAGCTAGTACCTAATATCACAAACAAAAAGACAACATAGAAGAAGAATCAGGTGTACCACAGTGGAACACTGGCAAAAATAACATGATGATGATTTCCATTTTTGTCTTGTATTTATTTCAGTGGAGAATCTTGAGAGACTTCAGAATTATTAACAAGTACGCTTTGAAGCAGTACCCAAAGTAAAGTCATATTAACCCCATTTAACTACAAATAAAACGTCAGAGCCATTCAGAAGTTTTTAAATAAATAATTCACTTTGAAAGGAAAGGATTTGGTCTGAAGTAACTTCATGAATTTGTAGATTTCTTACTTTGTGTCTTAGGCATGAGATCATCCTATAACTTTTAGCATGAGCAGCAAATATCTGTTTACTGAATAGTTATGTACTACTAAAATACAAAAGGAGCCTAACTGCATTGACAAGCTAGGAACACTGGCAATCTTTCAGCTCTTTTTGTGGACTGCATCTCATTACTCACTAATAACTTGATCCGCATACTTACAGATAATGTCTTTGGCTTGAACAACAGCTTTGCATCCAGTTCCCAATACCACACATAAAAACCTGAAAGAAACACACAAGAACATTTCCTTCTTTCACCAAAGATCTGATCCAAAGATCACTTAGGGGAGTCTTTCAATTGACTTAATGAGATGTAGATCAAATTTCTAAAAAGCGGCCATTCAATTCAAGATTTCAACAAAGTGTATGCTGTAACAAATATATTTATCCACCTTTACTAATCCTTTCATGCTTGGCATTTATACATGCAGTATATATATTTTTTTATATATATATATGTATTTTTTTTTTCATAGATTTTGTAGTCATGTAACCAATAGCTGATATTAAACCATTAAACCAGTCATTAAAATCTGGAGTAAAAGGAGCTTGATGAAACTCTACTTTTAATGGTTATATTATATTTTAGTAAAATTATACTAGGGATGATATAGGTCTTATTTATGACAGGCTTGGCATTTTCCAAGACAAAATTAAAAGAATTATATAGTAAAAACTGTACACTACTTTATGCCATCAACATAATTAAGTATGACACAACATAAGGATTACAGGAGCAAACCCAAGGAAATTGAAAATAATTGTCTAGCCTAAGCTGCTACTTCCAACTTGGAGTTCAAATTAATTAAAAGATCAAGTCTAAAACAACAGTAGAAAATCACATACCTAAAAGAATTACTAGTCTCCTAAAAAGTCAGAGAAGGCTTCTAGCATTTCTTTTCATAGAAGGAAACAAGTTCTAAGTATCGTACCAACTTTGACACAGAGGCAGGCTCAGCTTGAGAAGAACCACTCAGATTTTATTTTGTTGGGTGTTGCAAGTTTGTCTGTCATTAAACTGTTACTCCTCCTCTGTAATGTCATGCATTGCTTCTCAGTCTCTGGTCCATGTTGATCCATAGGACACCTGAAGATGATACAAACCTTTTAAATAAATATAGACAACATCCCACACATCCAAGCAAGCAAAAAAGTGGTGGGGAAAAGAAACAGTAAATGAATATGCAGAGTATCTTAAATTTCATTAGCTTTACGTGGAAGCCACTGAAGTAATACTGGACAAGAAGTGCAACTGACTGCTGGCATTTTTTGCTTACAAAAATGGCAGGTTTTTGTTTGTTTATTGTAATGTGTTGATTGACATATCCTCGAGAAATCTGTAGCTCTCAGAGCCAGCCATAACCATCTGCTTAGACTCTACCACCTGCATTGCCCTGAGCCTGTGAGGCTGCATATGCCCCTTGTTTATCTGGCAACAATGAACATTTTGGTCATGCTCCCTCCACTCACTCTGACTGACTCCATGTTCAAGATGCATTATCACACCTTCAAGAAGCTTGAACAGGACTGACATGAATATTATCCAGACTATAGCTCCTATTCCCTTCTTTGCCTGTCTCCAAACACATGTTCATGGGTAAGTGGATAGGTCCATGCTATGTCTAGATGAATAACGGGTCACTTTCTGATTCCACAGTGTTGAAGGATATTTTTTTGCTGTTCCTGGCTGTCTGAGAACTAGTGTTTTTTCCAGAAGTTAAAAGAAAAAATAATTGCTAGCAAAGAACAAAAAAATAATTTATATGAGTAGAAATCATTCTATAAAGGCCCTAATTTTCAGGTTTGTGGCCACATATGGAAATAAAACATGAGATGGATATCAAAGAAGTGCAATATACAGTAATAGTTAAAATTTATGCCACTCCCAGTGACATGCACATAATTAATAATCAGATCTCTGAACTCGCTGAAGCGGGTGTGGAGAGGGTGGGACCCATATCAGATGTGGTAGCTTTCCATCAAGTACAAATTTACTGTAACACAACAAGGTCAGGACTCATGGCAAACCATTTTATGAGCCTTGCAGACTCAGAAGCACATACTACACACAGTAAAAAGCAAGCTGGAACTCTGGGCTCCCTCTTCAAGATCAGTCAGTCCAGGTTGTTTTGGGGCTGCAGTTGTTTGGGCAACTACAGAAGAAACGAGTGGCCGATGCCAGTCCAGCATGAAAGCGGAGCTGAACGACTGTGTGAACACACTGTGAGTCATATGATGCAGAAACTTCTGGCTACCACTAAAGCTGAAGAAATGGAGATTAAAGTCCCCTTGTTTTCCTTCATTAAATCCCTCCCATTAAAACCCAAGAGATTGTAGCAACAGTCCTGGTGCAAATCCATTTAGTATGACATTGGCGCTTAAGATTTCAACAGCCGAGGTCAGCTAAATGTACAAACCACAAATGGATGCCAGTTCACTCATGCGTGAAATAAAATGGGCAAAGAAAAGTAGCTTTCTACCTTTCCTAGCCAAGTTTTACTGCTGAGAAAAGCGTCAAATTACCCTTACAGCACCTGAACTCAACAGGGTGACATTCTGGTACCTCCCAGCTTCAGTTCCCGCTTCTTCACACACTCCAGGGCGTAGCTCCTGAGTGTGCAAGTCAGGCAACTACATCAGGGCTCAAGTGGGGCCCAGGGATGGTCTGTGAAGATGGGGGAAGACAGAGAAAAGCACTGCAAGATGACTGGGCAGGTACCTCCTCTTCATATTGTGTACGAAAGGGCCCAATGCCTGCCAAACCTCAACAGTGCCCATATTTTGTCCTTTCTTCCCATCAATCTTTTTCCCAAGCATCTTCAGGAACAGGTGTCTTTAGCTTCTGTCATGACTGTTCTGTCATTTCTTTAGATCTGACTGGGATTTAAAATCCGCCAAGATGGAAAATATTTTCCTCTGTGCATGAACGGATAGATGAAGTCCTGGGACTTTATGGCAATAGGCAAACTACTTGATAACTGCTAGATTTTGGAATTAGGTTGCAACTTGGCATCCATTTCATACTTATGCAATGTAAATATTACCAAGTGAATCTAAATCATATATGTAGTTTGTCTTTGTATATAATTAATTAACACGTACTGTGTATTCTGTTATTTGTGCTAGTCACTGGAATTTATCCCCAACATATGTTACTATGGATTCCTTTTTGTTGCCTTTTTCAGTCACTGAAATGGCACATCCATTTTATGGCATATGCTGTATATATATATTTTGATTACATCACAGCAAAACATTACTGTCAACTTTAATGCTGTTGATACGTTGATGTTGTTTTTAACATGAAATGGACAGAACGTGTACGTGAGAAAAGACAACACACTAGGATGGAATATGAGTGACTGAGTACAACTGTGAGAATAGATTTTACAGGATTATGTTAAGTATCCCTTAGATTGTAAAGATGTCAGCTAACATAAAACTCTAACGTACCAGCTGCTGTCCAAATAGATCAGAAAATGAAAGTCCCCATGCTGAGCAGGGCTTAAAATAGAGCAGCTGATGAGTAAGATGGCATCTCTTATATAAACTTCACATTTCATGCACAAAGACTTTTCATTGTCAAATATTCCTGGGGTTGCTATTTTCCATGAAAAATCTGCAGCAGAACAAAAGCACCAAATCGTTTGACTTTTCAGGCTTTAAAATGCAGTTGTTATTTTCATGCCACACAGAAACTCCCTTCTAGTCTGCTTTGTGATTCATGTGTTTGGATGAATAACTTTCCTGGAACTCAGAAAGAGGGAAACCTTCCCTAAGTACTTCCTGTCTTTCTACATGTACTAATAACAAGACAGAGTCCTCCCACCTTTCCCATTTACAATACACCAGGCACACCTACTGGTTGATATACCCATAAACCTCAAAAATAATGCTTTTGCTCTGTTTTAAAAATAGCATGCATTTTCTCTGGCAACAAAAATGTTGTTTGTTGACCATTAATATGTATTAAAGCAATCTTAATAGACTACTTAACTAATTGTCTGTAGACCAGGGAGGAATCATAGATCACTGTGAACATAAAAGATGAATTGCTCTTTCTCTTTAAAAGATGGTTCCTGTCTAGAGCTCATCACCACTTTGAGAACATTTTACCTTAGAACACTGTCAGGAGTACAGAAACATGTAATCTTGAGGGGAAGTACAACCTATGTCATGTGCTTAACCCTGAAGGCCTTACTCCAAATGCTTAATGGAATCAGTATGAAATCAATGACGAATTTTGACTGTGTAAGAATTAAGTTAAACCTTTAGAATAGGTCTATTTACAAGATGAAATGCCAAAAAAAGAAAATGACTGTCCCACTGCCATATTACAGCCTGTCAATCTGGAAACCCTAAAGGAATAGATTCAAATTATACCATCCTCTAATAAAACCATAGATTGTTAAGCTTTTACTAGAGTTATCAGCATGAACTGAAACTATCTAGAATCAAGCCCTTAGGTTTTAAAGATTTCATAGCTTCTTTTCAGAGTAGGTGTCTTAAGCATCATGTTTTCCTTGTATTTGGAAAATAACTTAAAAGCTTTGTGTAACCGATATGAAAAAATAACCAGAGGTGCCGAGTAGCTTACCAGACTCTTCAGAAGGCTGCCAGCGAGGTACTCCGGTTCTAATTGCGGCTTTGCGCCTCACTTAGTATGTGGGTGTAAACCTGGTCAACTCATTTAATCTCCAGGCCTGCTTTTCCAATCTGTAAATGGGGGGATATGACAGTTATTTATTTAATACAGTCTGTGGCTCTAAATTAGTTTAAAAAAATACTCTTCAAATATTTAAATTATATTTAAAATTCCAGCTATCCCTTTCTGTTCAACTAATTCTGTTTATTTACCCTTAAAACAAGCAAATGAAGGCTAGTTGAAAAGATTTCTGTTTTATTACCAAAAGGAAAATTCTTCTTGTTGATTTTTTTCCTCACTGATTCTTATCCTCATTTCAAGTCAAAGCTGCCTTGCTCTGGCTAGTCTGTGAAATTTAGCTTACAGATTTGACAGATTTTGCTATTCTGAAATGAAGCTTTATTCCAATACTAAATCAAGGCGACTGCCTGTGTGTGAAGAAAATGGCGGCACCCAGTGAGGGGCTGCCCCTGGGGTGCAGAAAATGGCGGCACCCAGTGAGGGGCTGCCCTGTACTGCACAGCCTTATTACGCCATAGGCAGGCTGCATTTAATGATCATACCCGCTACTCTTCTTGACGCAGAATCTAACCCAGGAAAGTGGTTTCTGTAGTGTTCAAATGTGAATACAGTAAAGAAAATCAACTGGGCGGAACGCAGGCTACTTGTTCTAATATTCTATTGATAAAACACACTTTTCAGCACAATCACCACGCAGCACTCTCTCTTCCTGTTTTTAAACTATAAGTTAAAACCAGAAATTAAATTCTGTTGGTTAAACATGGTGTAACCGTTAACACCTTAACATAGAGAGGCAGCTAAATTTCTGCTGAAGAACGAACTTGCTACCTTCCTTCAAAAAGCATAAAATCTGAAAACGGATCAGGCCAGAGTTGATGGGATGAGGAAATGCTTTTGCTGTTGTATCAGACACGCCTGTGCACAGTGCCCCAAGCGGAGCACACAGCGGAGCCGGTCTTTCCGGCAGGTTTGATGCTTTGGGGTGTGATCTCAGTTTTAAGGGTTCCTTCAAGTACTACCCCTCAAGGAGAAATACTCTACCTCTGCTCAAGCCTTACCTCTTCTATTCGCTTTCTGCGTTTAGAAACGTGTGGTAGAAGGGTGATGCAAACTCTTTTCCGGCAACAGTAGCTGAACTCAGGTCTTGTTAAACTTCAGACTCGTTCCTTAGCTCTTCCGTGATAAACTTTGCACCCTTAAAACTTTAAATGACAATAGTCACCTGTAAGATGCCTTACTGCAAGAGAGAAATTCCCTGAACTTCGAAAAAAATCTATTTTCAAGAAAGTCACAGAATAGGATTGATGTATATCATCATACACTGAAAATCAGAATTTGATTAACCAGATGCTGTTATTTTCTTTAATATCTCATGAATAGAAACTACAGCGTAAAAACAATTCAAAACAATCGTTTACTGGGAAATATGACATATGGCCAGCTAAGCTGCTTTCCTACAGAAATAGCTAAAGATCATTACTCTTGGCATTATTCTCTACGGCAGTCACTGGGCTCATTAAAAGAGAATGTGATGGAGTCCATAAGGAAGATTGTTTCTACAGGTGGGTAGAAACAATTATGAAAACTACAAAGACTTGTAGAAAGAAGTAGTCAAGGAGACTTCTCCACCTCCAGAACTTCTGTGCACTAAGCCAAATCAAAGCAGCACCACTAAAACAGTTGGGAAAAAAAAAAAAAAAAGGATGCGTTTTCTCCTTTTCCGTCGCAGTGTACATTTCTGTTTTGTTAACGCACAGTGTTTCATTTTTCGTGTTCTGTGGCAGGTTTTTTCCTCGAGTGGGAACATCCTGATGTGAGCAGGAAGTTTGCATCCAGCAGGGGCCACTTGTTGCCTGTGTTTATTCCCGACTCAGTCAGGTGGAAACCAAACAAGGCTGTGGTAGGATGAGTTCCCATTCTGTGACAGTGGATGGGAACACCCGCAGCCCCGCTGTGATGTGATAACGCTGCAATCCAAGCCTCTCCTGTGATGTTAGACTGGCAAACGCAAACCAAACGTTTGTGATGTGGCATCACAGGACAGGAAATGTTAAGACAATTACAGTGTGGCAATGATAATCTGATGTAGCAATAATACAATCACGTTTAGCAAATGTTTGCATTTGAAAGCAGCTATGCTGCTGCTGTGATTATGTTCTTGCGATACATCCCCTTTACATGCCAGCACTGTTGCGTGGATTATCTAAATATAGACTGCAACACGGTGCGGTGGATGGCTTTACCGTGCTCTATCACCGGCCTTTTTCATATACTAAATAACTGCTGCGTACAGTGCCGGTATTATACGGTCACGTTGGGAGCTGACAGAGCCTTTACGTAGCGGAGCTAATGGCAGCATCACACACGTGCTTCCGAGACATTCCGAAGGATGTTGCGAGGCAGGCCTGCGAGGGCTCGCAGAGCACAGCACACGACGGAACATCAGTTTACTGACGCGCCATCGCGTACAGGCACGCAGCCACACAGCACGCGAGGCGGACCCAGGGCCGGGATTTGCCGAGGCTGGCTGCCAACATCGGGAGCAACTGCAGCCCGTGGGTTCAGATGAGGCTGTGGCAGGCTGAAAGGCGGCCGCCATCACACAGTGACAACGGTGACCCTGCTGCAGGGAGGAGCGAGGGCAGAGCCGAGAGGGCACGGCCAGGCCCCGGGCGCTCAGGGACAGAGAGCGGGCTTCGCCCTGGGGGAGGGCCGGCGAGGCGAGGCCTGGGCGCAGGCTGGCACTAACGCCTCGAG